TAACAATTAACTATATAATAATAGTCTAATAGTATTCATTGATAATTCTAACTTTAATAGAGATAATTATATATCTCTAAAACAACCATTCTTACTAAACGATAACGATAAAGAATCACCTAATAAGAAATATCAGACAAATTTGATTCTAAGCTATTTACACGCGTTTTTAACGGTATTACTCTCTTAACTAAAGAAGATACTAGTTAACAGTTTACTAAAAGAACTAGATAACTAGTTAGAAGTATAAGTTTATATCTATAAAGCTGAATGGTACTATATAATATAAGTTAAATATAATAAGCTGAATAAGATAAATACTTAGATACCTAAGAAAAACGATCATATAATACAATTATATTTAGACGAATATAGAAATATATCATAGAATGCCTGCCCTAGGTATTAAATTCTTCTAATCTAATAGGTATTTAAATATAAATCAGATGAAAACGGCTTTTTAATATAGTTTAAAGCTTATATTTATATTTATAGCGACCTTTAGATTATTAAAGATAAAGAAGATATTAGGGCTATAACCCTAGTAGTATATACCCTATATATATTACTAGTAATAGCAGCTGTATTTAATCTAGAAACCTTTTAAATAGATGTAGTAAATATATTTCTTAATAGTTCCCTTTTACCCTATCTATACTACTAGTTTCTACTAGGTTACCGATAATAAGGGTATATTTTATAACTAAACTAAGCTCTTTATAGCTTATAAATCTCGCTACGTTTATAGGAAGAAACGATTAAATTAAAGCTTATTAAGATAGGCTTTTATCCTATCCCTAAAGACCTATACCTTTTTTTAGATAGAAAGGTTATATTAATAATCTTTATTAATAATCTTCTTAGTATATACCTTCTAAAATACTAAAAATATGCCGAATTTATTAGAAATCATCTTTATTAAAGCTTTAAGATAAAAGACTGTAGCGAATTAACCTAATTCATTAGTATATATATAATTAGAGACTAGATAAAACGAAAAATCTGGTTAAACTAAGATATATATATTAAGAAGATCTCCTACCGATTCTATCTAACTAATAGGAAGCTACTAAAAATACTACTTCCTAGTAAAAATCTTATTTATATATTACCTAATATATTATTATCTAATTATAAAGCTTATCTATAGCTAATATAGTACTACTAATTATTAGTAGGATTAATTGGTTTTACTATAATTATAACCCGACCTAATATTACTTTTATATATTAGATACTTTCTTAATAGCTAATAAAGCTAGAAAGAAGTTATATAATCGCTATAGAGTAAATAATCTTATACCTTTATAGGATAAGATATTATTCTATTAAATTTAATAGGTTATATAATCTATAATATATCTTTCGAGTAGCTTTAGATATAAGCTTTACTAATAATATTAGACAAAAAAGCTTATAAGGCTTTATTTTTACCCTATTTAGTAGTCTAATTAATTAGTTAGTAAGAAAACAGTGAGTTATTATAATATTAATAACTAAAACTAAATTAGTTATACTCTCTAAAGTAGCTAAATACCTTCTTTAGATAAAAAGACTACTTAATTTAATTGAATTTAATACCTAATATAATCTAATACTATTATATAATAATAAGTAAACAATTAATCTAATAACGAAATCTAATTCGCTATATTAGATAAAACTGCGTTATATAGATATTAATAAATATTAGTTATAAGAAAAGGTAAGAAATAGAGATATATATCTCTAATAGATTCTAATAAATACCATGATTACTAATAGATTGATAAAATACCTTTTATCACAAAAATACCTTAAATTCTTAAATCAGCTGAATTTAAGATAATTACCTAATCGGGTAACCGAATTCGATAATATTTAATCTATTCTTTCTTTCCTATTTTATCCTATATTTATAGCTTTTGACTAAGGTCAAAATCTGAAGGGGTGTGTTAGAATATATGTATTCCTGTTTTAATGATGTAATTGATGATGTCATTGATTGCTTACTTTATTATGTCTGAAGAAAGTCATGATTTATCTGAAGAGAAGTTATAAATCATCTGATCTTTGATTTACCGAGTTATCCGCAATGTTTGATTACTATAAGAAAGCCCCAAAAATTGTACTGAATGTTAGTTAGACAAATTGACTATTTCATCCCATGATATATACTTTGATCTTATCCTTGACCTAACACTTGACTACCTAGTTGTTTATCTATTTAAATACTATGCATTTAACCCCTCGAGAGTGCATTATAAAGCATTGTGCCTAGTTCTACCATATTCTAATATATAGTAATACTCTAACTAATAATAATACTCCTAAACTAATTAAAATTAATAATTAGGTAGAATATAAGATTAAATATATCCTATCCTATTAAGGTAAGAAGAATAAGTCCTACTTAGTTAAATAGTATAGTTATAATAATATCGAAGTAACCTAGGAACCGTAGTCTATAGTTAAAGAGACTAAGGCCCTTAATAACTATAAGGCTAGGTTAAATATAGCTATAAAGATACTAAAAAAGATAAGGACTAAAAATATATACTTAAAATATAAGAAGCTTTAATTATAAATTAAAAATTAGTATTATACTCCCTATACTTAATAGGATTTATATATAGGTATAGGTAAGGTTAGTATACCTAACTAAACTTAAATACTAATAGGATAGTATTAAAAATACTATAGAGTAATAAAATAGATTCTATAATTAGGGTATTCTAAGAGGTAGGGACTAAGTTTATAGGGATAAATAAAGTATTATTAGGTATACCTATATTAGAAACTATACTTTCCTCTACTAAACTAATAGGGATATTAAAGAATTCTTTAACTTTAGAGATATTCCCTATATTTTTTATAACTTCTAAGGCTATAATAACTTTAGTAACTACTATAATCTCTATAGCTTCTATAATAGTAGTAGCCTTTTTAGCCTTATTAGCTATATAGGTTAAGTACTTAATACTCTACTTAATAATATATACTTAGGGTATATAAGTAGATATAGGTAATATATTAAGAGTAGTATAGGTAGTAGGCTAAACCTTAATAAGAAGCTATATTATTATTAATAATAGATTCCTCCCTATAATAATATAGCTAACTTATAGGGATATAACTATACTTTACTAAAGTATAGTAAGTATATTTAGTATAACCTATAAGGGTCTTATACTTATAGTTTAGGTAGCTTTATAGTTAGAAAAAGTACTATTAGTAAGGTAGTAGTTCTTTAATAGGCTTAGGGGTTATTAGATAAGATAGTAGAGTTATAGACTAGTAGCCTAATATATAATAGTACTATACCTATAGATATAGAGTTTTATCCTCCTTAGAGGAAGGTAGTATAGGATAATAATATACTATTATTATTCTATAAATATAGTTAGTATATAAACCTAAAAATAAGGCCATTTCCTATAAGGAAGGGGTAGATATAATATTAAAATTTCTTAGTATACTATATAGAATATAATACTACTAAATTTAAATATATCTACTATATTTACTAACTAATAGTAGTATCCTAATTAGAATAGCTTTATCCTAATAGAAGTACTATTAAATTAATAGAATTTTAATAAAAAAATAAACTAGGTATACTTATAGATTAAGTAAGATAAGAGATTAAAAAAGAGAAGAAGATACTAGGGGTATACCCTAGGTATATATAGGTATAGTATCTCCCTTTATCCTAACTATATTCTCTTACTAGTAAATAACTACTTAGCTAAACCTTATATATATAAGATACCTAAGTTTATAGGTATTAGAGACTATAGTTACCTGATTTCTTAGCGCAGTTATATAACCATACTATATATAGACCTTATTATATATACTATACCCTCTATTTATACTTCTATTATATTATTTTTTATATTTTTAGAGTATTAAGGCTAGATACCTTTCCCTATATACCTTTTTACCCTTACTATAAGGTTTTTTAGATATATAGGTTTTAATAGACTAAGCTACTCCTTTATTCTTCTCCTATTCTAAGCCTATAGGGACTATATATTATAAGGAGGGGGATATTATTAGGACCCTAGTACTAAGAAGGCTAATACCTAAGGTATAAGCCCTATTATAGGGCGTAGAGTACCTATCCTAGGTATATAGGGGACTATGGACTAGGTAGGAGTAATATATACTACCTATATAGCCTCCTTAGGTCATATAACCCATAAACCTATATATTATCCTTACATACTGCTTCTTTAGAGAGGCAGCTATTAGTTCCAATATACCCTATGTATATCACTATCTCTATTTCCCGATCCTCTATTATATACAGCATTCCCTTAGGCATTCTATACCTAGGGGTCTCACAATAAGTCTTCCAGAGATATAGGGTAGGATAATTAGACATCGTCGGCATATAGTTCGGCCTCGTATAAGAGTGCCTAAAGTAGGACAGGGTGGCTAGATGTAGGGGTTACAGGGAGCATTTTCTTACCTAGATTACCAGAAATATATTTTTGACCTATGCTATAGCACTCTACGTGGTCTAAGAAGAATACTAGGCGGTATAGGTAAGAGCCTGTATTCGGCCTAATTAGGCTTAGAGTAAGCTATGATAATCTTATTGGCTCTCTGAAAATTCAAGGTATCTAATTGGTGGATTACTAAGAGTGGGTCTACGCCTGAGGCATACACCCATTTTGAAATGAAACGATATTTTAGCGTTGAAATTGAAATTGAAATGATATTTTTAATTTTCAAGCGAACTTAACAGCCCTAATGTACAGTAACATCGTACAAGAACATGTGGAGATCTCGGGAGATGGCAGATCAGGTGATCTCTGAATGGTACAGTTGCAAGTCATGTGATCAGTATTGAGAATACTGTTACTATAGTAATTTACATAAGCTGGTTGAAGGCCTAAAGTAGTTTAGCAGGGATTGTGTAAAGGTTGTGTAACCCTTCTCTTTCCCTATCACCTACACCCACTTGGCATCTGCTTTACCACGAAGGAAACGCTATTTCATATCAGTCGAAGATGTCAGAGACTGCATCAGCGAATGTGAAAACTAGATTCCTGGTTTTTTCCGACACACATGGGCTTGATACTCCACCAAACTTTGTCTCGCGCCATTATGCGGATGTCGCAATTCACTGCGGAGATCTCACTACCGAATCGAAAATCGATGAGTACAAAGCTTCGATCCGTTTCCTCCAAGCCGTGAACGCCCCGCTTAAACTTGTGATCGCCGGTAATCATGACTTCACTCTGGACACTCCAATGTTCCAGAAAAAGGTCGCGGAAGCCCAACCCTTAGATCCTCAACTAGTTCAAAAAGTCTACGGCAACTATGAAGAAGCTCGAGGGTTATTCGAGAAAGAAACAGGTATCACTTTTCTAGATGAAGGTATCCATTCCTTTCGCTTACAAAATGGTGCTCTATTGAATGTTTATGCCAGCCCATACACCCCATCACTTGGGGATTGGGGGTTTCAATATCACCCCGAGCGCGGACATGACTTTCGAATTGAGAATGTCGATGTCGTGATGACACATGGGCCGCCAAAGGGAATTATGGATTACACACACTCTGGCCAGCGTGCCGGCTGCCCACATCTTTTCAAGGCTATAGCTCGAGCCCAACCTCGACCCCTGATGCATTGTTTTGGTCATATCCACGAAGGATGGGGTGCCAAGATTGTTCGATGGCGTCAGAAAGTTAGCCTAGAGCCTTCTCACTTGACTGATATCGACAACGAAAAGTCAGTCCTCCTATCCCGACTCTCTACCATCAAGGGTAAAGGGAACCCCACAGAGTGCTCTACTACAAGTAATTGCTCTGAGGATCACAATCCACTGAAACGGGGCTCTGAAACACTTTTTATCAACGCCGCGATTGAGGGCTACGAAGATCCTTCGATACAGCCACCGTGGCTTGTCGAGCTCGAGCTTCCAGCAGCGGCGTGAGAACCTAAACTTACCGTCGCGCTTGTAGTAATGAATTAGGCAGTGTTCTTGGTTCTTGTCATGTTCTATTCACAATTTGTGCTAGGTATATGGTTAATGTCATCGCATGGTAAGTAATTTTTACTAGCCCAAGGGCAATTGCTCCATCTAAGAATACATTTACAAAATAATCGACCTCCCGTCCTCCTCCTGTAATAATGAGTATAATAATAGGCAATCCACAACCCCTAGACGTCTCCCAGCTCCGCGCATATACTCTAGCTCTTCTACATTGAGCCCTGGAAGGATTTTCCCTGCCTTTACCAACTCCGACAACAGCCATCGAAAGTCTGCAACCTCACCATCACTCCCACGTTCAACCACCGTCACGGCCCTCAATCTCAGCAAGTCCGACATGGACGCAACAGAGCCCTCGAAAAAGGGCTCTGCCACGTGGATGCGTTCGATGGCGTCTCCGATTTCGATAATGTCGATTCGGACGCGTATTCCTTGACTATCATCAAACGCAATCTTGCCGTCGGGCTCGAGAGAAAAGTTGGGGGCACCGTCCATCACTCTCTTAGCGATGTCATGAATGACATCGCTCGGTGCAGCAACATCCACATCCTCTGTATAGAATACAGAGTCGTGGGCAATGCTGGCAGCGCCGCCAACTAGAATGAGTTGACGACGAAGTTCAGGACGGACTAGGCGGGTGGCTGCTCGGAAGCACTCGATGAGTGCCTCTCGTAGTGGTGCAGGGATGGGGGTGCACTTCGGCATGTTTCGAAGTTACGGGGCAAAGGCAGCTGGGCAGGGCCTCTGAATACATTTAGCACATCCATTCTGTTGCCACATACTGCACCTGCGAAGTGATGAGCTTACTGGAGTATATGCAGCGGGAAGCTGGGAGGCCCGGGGGTACAGTGGATTGCCTTCACCTCCATGTCAGTAGAAGCTCACATTGTAGTCTGATGCTCAAACTCACGGCCAAAAGATGATATATCCAATAAGCATGTATCTATACAATGTCCGACTTTGTGGATGTGTATAATGGTGATTATTTGATAATACAACAAGCTTGCAGCGCCAAATACTCATTTTGACCGCAGTACTTGCCATTCTCACCTCATTCCCAGTTGTGCCTTCCTTTTCCCTCACTTCACATAGTCTTTACTTGCTGCAGTTACCACCTGCCTTCACCGAGCTTTTGGGATGCAGTAGCTTTTCAAGATTAAGGAAAGAGCTACGCACATTCACCGAAACCGCATACAGACATACATGTAAACACAAGCAGTCAATTCCAACCACTAGCTATGAACACCACCGAGCCACAGCCAGCTTTTCCTCTTGCTTATTGCAGGTGCTTTTGCATTATCAACGAGAGCTTCTGCTCCGTTCCTCCAATGATATCGAAATAACTATATTGTACCGATTGCTTGATCAATGGGTGTGCTCGGAATTCGCCAACGAAACAAAACAATACCCAATCAGCACCATATGGCGGCTAGTCTATGCATTTAGAACAGAGCATCGTGATGAAATTATAATAACAAAGTCCGTAATATCATTTTATAGAACGACTCGGTATCCAGACTACGCGCTGTATCCCTAGTAATCGCCATGCACTGCGATATACGGGCTCCGGATATCTCTGTTCGACAGTCTATCATAACAAAATATGCTTTACGGGTTAATCTCGAAAAAGTGGAGTTACCACGGATAATTGATGGATAATTGCATTGAATACTATGCCTTTGAAATGGCAATAGGCAAGAAAAGAAAAGCCGGAGATCGCTCAGGGAGCTAGGGCAGTAGCCTTGATGCGAGCCTCAAAGCAAAATCCAAAAGTATCTCAGTACCCACCAGCCAGAGAACCACCCAGCTTTATCCGTTTCAACAGTCTATTAGATTGCAAGTCGCTCCACCTTGGCTCTAAGGTGTTCGATCTGTGGAGCTAGGTCACCAGCATCGTTCGAGGTGATGGTAGCCGCGATAATCGGCCGGGTCACGCCGCATGCTCGACCAAGAGCGTGCTTGTTAGGCAGAAAAACGTACGGGACGTTCTTGTCTTCGCAAAGCACAGGGACATGCATCAATATCGCGAGAGGATCGGTGTCGGCGGCGAGAACGACTATTTCAGATGTGCCTCGACTCAGGGACTTCGTGACTAGACAGGCAGGCAGGCATTAGCTCCATAGTTAGCTCAAAGTATTGTGAATTGTGAACAGACATACCTTCATTTGCGCCTTTTTTGACCTGCTTGTATTGCATGCCTTGCTGCAACAAGTCCAAGAGTTCCTGTGTCAAAGCAGGATCCGCGACCGGCCACGCTGGGAATTGGTTGGATTGGAGAATCAAAATGAAAAGCCCGACGCAGACTTACGGACACACTGTGGGGACGATTCCATTTTTCTAGAGGGTCGCTGCGCTGTGCACCTCAGAAGGGGAGTGAGAGACAGGAAAGACAATCTCGTTGGGGAGATTGGTTGGCGAAGTTGGAAACAATGTTGAGAAAGTGAGTCGTTTGCAGAGCAAGCAGGTAGAGCGCGGTATGAAACTGCGAAGAGAAGAGACGAAAGAGAGAGAGACACCACCTATGAGCACTTTCCTTAAACGAAAGATTGTCGGCCACGTCAATAGATCATTATACTGTACATCATTACCCAGACATCTTGAGACCCGAATATCACCGAAGTTATACACGGAAAAAGAGTTAACTAGTTATATTTTTCATGGATTGAACTTGAAACCAAAGATCTTTATATGAATTCAATGTTCTTCTAAACATAATGACAACGCTATGCAAACAAGGCTCTGAAACGAACATTGGAAGTCTCTATACACTTACACTGGTCATGGTAGCCGAGGGTAAGAGAAGACGCAGAAAGGCTACTGCATCAAATATTCACATTCCTATCCGCTCACGAGAGGATCAGGCGTAATGTTGGTGGCAGTGATAGCAGCAGCCTCGGCTGGCGTGATGGTGCCCTCAGAGGGAGTATCAGTCTCTTTGGGCGTATTCTTCTCTACGTTTTCATTCTTAACGGGAGGCTTTGTGCCCTTTTCACGCATCGCTCCACTTTCAAATGCTTCTTCGGGCAGAGGACGGACATGGGGCTGACAGATCCACCAAGGCCTTCCGTACTCCGCAATCACTGCTTTAGATCCCTTCAAAGTCTCATCGGGTTGTGCTTCAAACTTCTCGGGAGAGGCTTCGTACTCCTGAAGTCCACCTTTAATGGCCTCCTCGAGGAGGGCCAAGGTGTGCTCAAAAGCGGCCATGTCGCCTGGTTTCGATGTCGCAAGAGCATCCCGAACGTTGGTATGGGTTCCAACCATTGGCCGCAAGACTTGGAAGAGATGACCCTGCATGAAACCGAGGCTGGCAGAGTGACACTTCTTGCCCTTCTCGGCCTTGCTCCGCTTTTGCTTTTTCTTGAGCGGGCCCTCCTCGTGGCCGTTATTTTCGGCATCATTGGTTTCTGCAAACTCATCAACTGGGTCGGATGGAAGATAAAGTGGCTTCCTTTCTGGAACCGGCTGTTCGAGAACGTATTTATAGATGATATCAAGGTATCTTCGCAGCACGGCGTCAACTCGGTAACCGCCCTTTCCATCCCGCCCGCGCCAGTATTCTCTCCCTTCAGTGCCGGCTGGGGGTGGCTTGCTGAATATGGACGGGTCTGATAGATTTCCTTCGGCGCTCATCACAGCGTCGGCACCGGTCGCCTCGAGACAGGTTTCGATGTCACCGTAGTTAAGAATGTTTCCATTGGCAAAAATTACCGTATCCGCTGGTAGATTGTCTCGTAAATAGCGGATATAGCTCCAGTCTGCGACTCCTGTATTGTGACCCTTTTGTTCCCGTCTGCGTCCATGCACAGTGATGATGCTGGCCCCAGCGGAGAGAATCATCTTAGCATACTCCAAGGTCTTCTCCTTAGTCTCCTGGATACGGAATTTCACCGTGACAGGAATCGGGAGTTCAGTGTGCAACCGATGCACAAGCTTATAGATCAAGTCCCAGTCCTCCTGGAGGAAAGCTCCGTAGTGTCCCTTTTTCGCGATACCCTGCGGGCAGCCAAGGTTCAAGTCCACGGCGTCGCAATGAGGTGCCACATGACGGGCAGCCTCCAAGAACTCATCTGGGTTGTTTGTGCAAAATTGAACGAAAAGTGGCCGGTCAATTGCGGGATTTCCGTCAAGAAACAATTCATCCTTGTTCTCTCCGACGACTTTGCGGGTAGGTTGGAAATGTTTGGCCCGGACGTTCTCTTGTTCGCCGAAAAGACGTGCGTGAAACATTGGGGTGTATGCGAGTAACGGTTTCGGGTCGTTTGGTGGCATGAATGATCGAGTAAGCATGCGCCACGCCTTTGGGAAGCATTAACGTCGGTCTGCAGATGTTGTTACTTGGAAGGCGGACTCACGAATTCGGATCTGTCGACCATTGGAGCAACAACATATTTTGGGCTGCCAATGCTTTCATAAAACTTTCTTCCAAAGAGCTTCTCCTTAGGCTCACGCGCAGCCGCAGAGGGCTGCTCAATGCTCTTTGGTGGGCTTGTTTCGGAGGCCATTTTTGAGAGATTGGACTGGGAAAAATGTCGAGAAAATCGGCCCACCAAAGAGTTGAAAGGCTTGAAGATACCTATGTTGACGCCTGGAAGGAGGAAAATGTGGTTATGGTCAACGATCGCCTCCAGTCGCATCACAATGGAGAAACAACTTTTGCGAAAAGCGCCGTATCTCAGCCGGAATTACTATTTCCCGGCTTATCTTATCGTCGCGGGGGGCGATTGGAAGCTGCGAAAGCGTTGAGCTTGTGGTGTCACTGGGGAAATTGACTTTACATTTGATGTTTTCGACAGTACCTTGGCATATTCCTTTCCTTCTCATACGCCTCACAAGCAACCTGATCAACCTCAACTGCCTAGGTGATCCCTTCAAGATCGGACTCGCTTGTGGATTACATAATCTGATATGAATAACTAGTTACCCCGGCGCCAGCCAGAGAC